CCCTGGATGAACTTGACCCTTCCCTCCCTGTTTTCCCCATCTCAGCCTACTGCTATCCTGGAGATGAGTTTCTACCCACATGTCAGGGTCTGTGTTCCTCTGCCCTTAAACCTTCAGCAGCAATCTTTGGCCCACAAGATTATGTCCAGACTCCTTTGTGTGACATCAAGGTCCACTGTGAGCTGGAACAGCATGCCCCTCGGGCTCCAGCCACCCACAGTATTTGTCTGCATGTTAATGCACAGAGGCTGGCCCCTTACTAGTAGTGAGGTCCTGGGGTCTGCTGCTCTTTGCCTCAGAGACTCTGAAGTAACTTTGAAAAAGAATATGGGAGAACACATTGGAGAGCTCCCTTAGGGACCTCAGATCTCTAGGAGCCAAAATGAGAGAAAGAGAATGAACTTTGAAGTAAGGCAGGAGCTGGGATCCTGCTTACAAGCTGTATTAGACTTGGCCTCCTTATTCTACTTCTGTAGGCCCTTTTTTCTCATTGTACAACAGCGACAAAGTAACTAACTCACAGGATCTCATGTGAGATCAAGAGTTATAACCCATAAAGTGTTTACAACAGTGCCTGGTACTTAGCAAGTGCTAAGTAAAGGTTGCAGCTGATATTAGCAGTAGCAGCAATAGCGTATAAGCCACCCAGTTCAACAGAAGATTGAAAGCAGGGGCTGATACCCGATGGGTTGTCAGTCAAATCAGAATCTTGATGTCACTTCTGTGATGATGTTGCACTCTTTCCTTTCCTTCTGAACTGCATTCCCCCAGCCTTGATAACAAACAGCCCTTTGCTTATCAAAAACCCATCCTTCAAAGTTCTATTAGGTTTATACTTGGCAGCTACAAAGCTTTTCCTAAGCCCCTAGCTGGAAAGATTTCCAGTCGTTGATCGTACACTGACTTGCACAAAAGATGCCACCACGTTCCTATAATCTACTTCCTTTGCCAATTAGTTGGTCTTTGACTAAGTGTGCTCTTTCTGGGAGGTTAAGCTGCTATCACTGTTTTATCTAGGAAAGCCTGATGCCTTGTGTAGGTTTTACCACTTGAGGTTGCTACTCAGATAGATGCAAATAAAAACATAAATTACATCTCTAACTCAAACTGAAGCATGCCTCTTCTTCCCCATGATTGAGCTAAGCTGCTAAACATAAATCATCACAGCAATAATCAGCTCTTTCACTACCAAAGCTGAAGAAAGGAAAAGCCAGCAATTTCTCATGTGTAATATATGTCCACCCTCTCACCTGGTGTTTTATAAACATACTGTCTTAGCTGTCTTCTAAGTGTCTGTGCCTGGGAGGGTACCTTCCTCTGTTTTGTAAAATGCCAAGTGATACCACTGTGATTTATAAATAATGATAATTAGAAGACAGCCTCAAATTATTTGACATTCAGATTGAAGGGAAAAGTAGTCCTTTTTTTGTAGTAACCTAGAATTTGGATCAGAAACGGCATTCAAAATAAAAGCATATTGGTTCCTGTCAGACAGGGATAGTTCAGACCTTCTCGTATCTGAAATCAGATATCACAAAATGGAATCATGGGCCAAGTACACAGCCTCAGATCTGGGCCCAGGCTATAAAGAACCATAATTTCTAGCCATGATACATTTGAAAATATCAGGACTAATAGGAGCTAAAGGAGAGAGAAGTCATGTTTTACCTGAAACTCCATAGAAGTATTTAAGAATCATTAACTTGGCATCACCTCCCAACCACTGGCCCCTTTATTTTGTAAAATATCCAAATACCAGAGTTTCTAGAATTTGGCTCATCTTGACCCTGCCTGCCTTAAATTTTGGAATTCTTCCTTTGTCACAGTTCCTGATGGTGAATTTGAGACTATTTGTTTGCTTGGTGGAAGGAATATTGGGCCAAGAATCAGAAAGACAGGATATGATTTCCAACCCTGCCACTATTTTTTTTTTTAAATGGAGTCTTGTCTCTGTCACCCAGGCTGGAGTGCAGTGGCTCGATCTCAGCTCACTGCAATCTCCACCTCCCAGGTTCAAGCAATTCTCTTGTCCCAGCCTTCTGAGTAACTGGGATTACAGGCATGCACCACCACACCAGACTAATTTTTATATTTTTAGTAGAGACGGGGTTTCACCATGTTGGTCGGGCTGATCTCCAAATCCTGACCCCGGCTTTGCCGACTCTGCCTTTGATTATGCTGTTCTCACACTTGGTATTCTTCCCTGTCATCTTTCTCTTTATTAAAATTACACCAATTTTTCCAGGTCTAGCTAAAATATCCTCTACAGAGCCTTTCCTTATCCTCCTTAGATAAAGAAAATGACCAGAAGAAAGAAGGGCATTTCTTCCTATCTTGTCTAGAGTTTGTGCCTGGCATCTGCGACCTCCTGCCTTTCACTGTATTATTTATCACCATCTTCATCGGTGCTGTAACCCCATACCTTTCTGTAGGTCTTGATATGCTCACAAGACACTTTCACACAGATTGTGTCACTTCCTCTTACGCAGAAGCTTATAACGTAAGCAAGGAAGGAAATTTACTCCCATTTCTACAGATCAGTATTTCTTGAACAACTACTGTGTACCAGGATTTGTGCTAGGTGCTAAAGCTAGAAATGGTGGTATCCCCAGAAGCTTGATTATCCCACTTTTTTTTTTTTTTTTTTTTTTTTTTTTAATGTAGTCTCCCTCTGTTGCCTAGTCTGGAGTGTAGTGGCATGATTTTGGCTCACTGCAACCTCTGCCTCCTTGGTTTAGGCTGTTCTCATGCCTCAGCCTCCCAAGTAACTGAGATTACAAGAGGACGCCACAATTCCCAGCTAATTGTGTGTTTGTGTGTGTTTATTAGAGATGGGGTTTCATGATATTGTCCAGGCTGGTCTTGAACTCCTGACCTCAAGTGATTGCCCACCTCGGCCTCCCAAAGTGCTAGGATTATAGGCATGAGCCACTGCACCCAGCCTATCCCACTTTTACAAGCACAGGAATTGAAACCTAGGCCAGGTGCAGTGGCTCACACCTGTAATTCCAGCACTTTGGGAGGCCGAGGTGGGTGGATCACTTGAGGCCAGGAATTCAAGACCAGCCTGGACAACATGGTGAAACCCCGTCTCTAATAAAAATACAAAAATCATCCAGGCATGATGGCACACGCCTGTAATCCCAGCTACTCAGGAGGCTGAGACATAGGAACGCTTGAATCCAGGTGTCGGAGGTTGCAGTGAGCTGAGATTGCACCACTGCACTCTAGTCTGGGTGACAGAGTGAGACTTTGTCTCAAAAAAAAAAAAAAAAAAACCTAATAAAAGTGTCCAACAGCCCCACTGAACATCTGTTTTAGTCTCTGGGACTTGCCAGGCTCTTTGCCGCCTCTGGGCCTTTGCAGATGCTGTTCCCTCCACTTGCAACATAATTCTTTCCACTCCTACTGACCAAACTCTACTCGTCTTTCAAAGTTTAATGAAAGTGTCGCCTTCTTTAGGGAGGCTTCTGCTGATCACCCCCTCCTGTCAAGTCTGAAATAGGCCTGCTAGTCTCTTATGGCACTCCTTTCCTTTTCTTCACAGCACTTAGCACAAATAGTAGTTTTTCTTTTACTTTTATAGATGTATTTGATGTCCTGCCACCATGAGGACAAGGATATTGATTTTGTCTGTTTGTTTTGAATGGAGTTTTGCACTTGTTGCTAGGCTGGAGTGCAGTGGCGCGATCTTGGCTTACTGCAACTTCCACTGCTTGGGTTTAAGCGGTTCTCCTGCCTCAGCTTCCTGGGTAGCTGGGATTACAGGCGCCTGGCTAATTTTGTACTGTTGGTAGAGACAGAGTTTCTTCATGTTGGTCAGGCTGGTCTCAAACTCCCGACCTCAGGTGATCCGCCCACCTCAGCCTCCCAAAGTGCTAGGATTATAGGTGTGAGCCACCACACCCAGCAGATATTGATGTTTATATTAACTCCTGTACACTCAGTGCCTGGCACCATGCCTGACCCAGAGGAGGGACTTGAGAAATAAAATGTCGAATGAATGAATGTGCAAACATCAGCCATTCACTCAGCTTAGTAAATGCCAGAGGAAAGCCTAGAACCCAGACTGTCTGAAGCCCTGGTTAAGACGGACCTCACCGTATCCTCTGACGCCACTCATGACTAGCCTCCACTTACTAACTTGCACAGTTACAGGGACTAAGAATCGCAGTCTTTGTTCTTTTATGGGTTCCTAAGACATCAGCACTGTTGGGTATGTGCATATTGAGGATTTGAAGGGTGGATATGTGTGTGGATGGGTGGACAGAAGGAATGAGAGACAAACGGACAAGCAGAATGCCAGAATCAGGAAGGGGCAGGAGATGGTCAATGTATGGAAGCGTGAGGGGGCACATTGGTCATGTGGTCAGCACCTGCACTGCGGCAGGCCCTGTGTTGGAAGGAAGTGGCAGTGTGAACATCAGCCTAGATATAGAACCTCCACTTCCCCCCTATTACGATCTAAAATTAATACCCTATTCTAGAGTTCTTGGAATAAACCTTCCATTTTGATAGGTCTTAAAGAATTTTCATTTTTATACTTCTGTCACATATTGGAACACTTTCATTATACATGAAAGCAGCTTTTATTTCTTCTTACTCCAGGCAGCCTGTTACTATAGCAATGTTGGAAGTATTTTGAGGTATTTTTATACAGTGAGTTCTACAAACTCCCTGCAAACTGTACATAATGTTTGGTTGAAATGGGCTATCATAGCCAAAATTGTCTCTCTTGTTTCTTTGTATCCTTTGTTAAACTTTTGCAAACTTTGCTATAACTTCATTCCTGAAAATGAAAGCTCTTATGTTTAGAAAAGAAAATAATCTGGGGGAGGGTTGTAAATATATTTGCCTGTAAAGATTGAAAATAGCTCTGAAATAATTTTAATTTTATTTGGGTACCATAAAGATATGATTGCTTCTTGGGGTCTCCTGGGTGGTTTTTTTCTAAACCAAGAAAATGGGTGCAATCATAGATTTCCTCTGTGTATCTGCAGGGTCTAGACAGTTTCAAAGTGAAACAGAAGTTCTTCGCTGGCAGCCAGGAGCCAATGACCACCTTTCCTGTGCCATATGATTTGCCTCCAGAACTGTATGGAAGTAAAGGTGAGACACAGATGAAGGAAAACCATGGGTGGATACGCATAAGAAAAACAAACAGAGCCCAGGAGAAGCCTTTGGTCTCAGTGGGATCCTGGTTCATGGAACCCTCTGGAAGCTCAGGTTTGAAGAGTGCCCTTTGCTACCCTGTCTGGGGTCATGTAACCACTGGTTGGTCTTAGAATCCCTTTGCACTGCTATAATTACTATACAGATCCTTCCTGACTTACAGTGGGGCTACCTGCTGATAAACCCCTCATAAATTGAAAATATCATAAATCAAAAATGCATTTAATGCACCAAACCTACTGAACGTCATAGCCTACCTTAAACGTGCTCAGACCACTTAAATTAGTCTACACTTGGGCAAAATAATCTAATACAAAGACTGTTTTATAATAAGTTGTTGGCTATCTCATGGAATTTATTGAAGACTCTACTAAAGTACTGCTTCTACTGAATGCATACCACTTTCACACCATCATAAAGGTCAAAAAACCTTAGAAATTAAAACCAAGAAATGTAACAGTAATAAACCTGTTGTAACTTACATTTATGCCAGGCACAGTGGCCCACACCTGTAATTGGGAGGCTGAGGTGGGAATATTGCTTGAGACCAGGAGTTCAAGACCACCTTGCACAACATAGTAAGACCCAGTATGTAAAAAAAAATTGTTTTAAATAGCTGGGTGTGGTGTATCGTGCCTGTAGTCCCAGCTACTTGGATAGCTGAGGTGGAAAAATTGCTTAAAGCCCAGGACTTTGAGGTTGCAGTGAGCTATATGATCAAGCCCCTGTACTCCAGCCTGAGTGACAGACCTGAGACCCCAACTCTAAGGGAAAAAAAGTTCTATAATAATTTCCAAAAAGAAGAAAACAGCAAGGTAAGTGGTATTTTGTTTTTTGCAAGCCTCTTTATGTGCATCTTAAAAGGTGACACCTCAGTTCTCATCGCTATGCACTCATTCGTGCTCTTGTGATATCATATCACATCACCTCTGTATACCTGTGTAAAAGTGAAAGTGAAAAGAACAAATGATGGCTTAATAGTACAATGAAAATAATGTTGAATTCACAGACTTTCCCAACCACCATGCTCACAACCCCTCAAACGGTAGGTCCCTAGCCACACTTTGAAAACTGCATGTATTGAGTCTTAAGGGCAGTGACCAAGTATCTTTCACCGTAGAAATGCAGTAGGAATAGCTGCAGAAGGTTCAGATGTCCTCAGAGGAAGGCTGGCTGGCATCAGTGTACCCTGTGTCCAGCCTGTGTGTATCCCAGCCTCACAGGCTACTCTGCTCCTTTTATCAGCCCTGAGAATATCTGTCTCTAAGGTCCACACTTAGCAAACTCACACAGGATGAGGTATATAATCAAGACACACTTAATTTAAATGGCAAATTATCATCAATCAGTATATTCTCCACTGGAAGGGAGAGACCTACATGAGTAGCCAAATTATAATCTACAGGTTTCTGAGCCAGTGTTAAATCTGAATAGAGAAAATACTTTTTTTTAATTGGCAGATTTTAATGACATCACTCATTGATACCCCAAAATCTCTTACCCAGTAGGTTCCTCTGTTCCCTCAACAATGTTTCACGGGACTAACAACTTTCCCACCCACTAACCCTTCTCAGCTTTCATAGTGAACCAAGCCTCCTTCGTCAGATGGGCTCATTTCTTAGATGTGCTGCCACATCTAACAAAGTTAATCCTATCTCATGCTGTCCAGTGTGCCAACCTGCCTCTTGCTGATAACTTTGTATTTCTCTAATCAATAGTTTGATACTAAGTTTCAGGAGGCATTCTTTTTCTTGTTTCTAAAGCCTGAAAGTCCTTTATGCCTCTCTGTTGAGTCCTCTAAATTTGTTGCATATGCATGTATATTTCACTTTCAGTGGCAAGGTTATATAGAGTTTTATCAGAATTTAAAGGAGTCTGTCAGCACCTTACTGGCCACCAAAAAAAAAAAAAAAAAAAGGGGCAGGAAAACCCTGCTTGAAATCAGGCCATGTTTATGTACCAACTCCACAACTTACTAAATAGACTTGGGCATTTAGTTACTTTCTCCAGGGTCTACACAGTGAGGAACCATGAGAAGTACCTATTTTATAGGGTTTTTGAAAAGATTAACTGGGATTATCTACAAAGTATTTATCTCAGAGTTAGCAATCAATAAACATTAGCTGCTTTTATCATAATTGTTGTTAAAATGCATACTTCAGTGCCTGGCAGTAACAGATGTTGAATTAGTGTGAATTCCCTCCCCTTTTCCTTGGCGAGCTCATGATTTTTAAAAATCTAAAGCTTGTGAAAGTCTGTCTCTAAACCTGTCTATCTCTTCTTCCCTCTTTTGGCTCTGTGTTACACTTTTGTCTTTTCTCTCTTTCTCTGTTCTTCAGATTTCTTTTCTTCCTTTTCTTAAAAAAAAAAAAAAAAAAAAAAAACCCAAGTTCTCCTCCTTCCTGTAAGAAGTAGGGACTGACTGTGATTAGACTGTATCTGCTGGGGTGTGGTCTTGGGCCTGCACTTCCCACTCCCACCCCTGTACCCTGGCTGGATTCCACCCTCTTCATTTCTTTAGTCCTAATCTTCAAAGGACTTAAAAAGCAAAAAGTGAAGCTCTAGAAGACTCTAAAAAATGTCTCAGGGTCCCTTTCCTTCCAGTAAAGTAAGCACTCCCAAGAACTTAGAAGTTTATAAGCAGGTATAATATCTTAAATGGTGGAATGATAAATCTTTCATTTGGCCGGCAAGCAGAATGCTTTCCAATGTTTAAATGGATTTTTTTTCCTTCAGCATTTCTTTTGAAAGATACTTATAATCTCAGGGTATGCTTAAGCTAACATAATAATAATAACTTTTTTTAAGAAAAGATACAGCCAGGCATGGTGGCTCACATGTATAATCCCAGCACTTTGGGAGACCAAGGCAGGAAGATCACTTGAGATCAGGAGTTCAAGGACAGCCTGGCCAACATGGTGAAACTCTGTCTCTACTAAAAATACAAAAATTAGCTGGGCATGGTGGTGCATGTTTGTAGTCCCAGCTACTCGGGAGGCTGAGGCAGGAGAATCGCTTGAACCCAGGAGGTGGAGGTTGCAGTGAGCCGAGATTGTGCCACTGCACTCTAGCCTGGGCAACAGAGCGAAACTCCATCTCAAGATAGATAGATAGGTAGATACATACATACATACATACATAAATACATAAATAAAATATATATATATATATACATACATACATAAATACATAAATTTATAAAAAGATACATATGAGAGACTGGAGCATTTTCTTTTATATTGGTACTGTTTTGTCCTCTACACTGCCTCAGTTGCATGTAGGGTAATGCTGGTAATTCAGTATCACCAGTTCATATGTAACCATTCCTGGGGAGCCACATGGACTATAGAAAGACATTTACCAAGATTGAGAAAAGTCAGTGGTTAAGAACATTTGAAAAGTACTTCATTTTCAGAGAAGTGATTTTCAAGCCATTGTAACACCTCCGAGATCTTGTTTGGTGTTTTTTAAAGTCAGAAGTCTGTACAAAAAGCTTAGCAAAGGAATATACTATGAATGAAGTAAAGCTCAATGCAAGAGGCTGCCCGATATATTGAAACCAAGAAAATGATCAAAGTAAAGCGAAAGCCAAGACTGAGCTACCAGTATACCTTGCTTTGTGTAGTAGTTGCTGTTTATTCATTCTCTCCACAGATCTGTATTGAGAGCCCATTGTGTGCAGACACCATCTAGGTACTTGGAATATGTTGACAAACAAGACAGGCACAAATCCTTACTCTCATCAAACTTATGTTTCTCTTCTCCTGAAAAATCATACTTAACCAAACCCATTTTACTAATAGCAGTAATTTTTAAAGAGGCCTTTCCCCCCCTCCTTTTTTTTTTTTTTTTTAAAGATAGGGTTTGTTCTGTTACTTAGCCTGGAGTGCAGTGGCATCGTCTCAGTTTACTGCAGCCTCAAACTCCTGGGCTCAAGTGATACTCCTACCTCAGCCTCCCAAGTGCGTGCCATCATGCCCAGCTAATTTTTTTTTAAATGCTTTGTAGAGATGGAGTCTCACTATGTTGCCCAGGCTGGTCTTGAACTCCTAAGCTCAAGTAGTCCTCCTGCCTCGGCCTCCCAGAGGGTTGAGATTACAGGTGTGAGCCACCATACCTGGCCCAAAGAAGGCTTTTATAAAGTAAAATCACCTTTCTGTTAATAAATCTAACACAGATTATTTCCATATGTTCCACTTGCTATGTGACCCTGATTTTGAAGAGGAAGTGAAATAGATCAGTGTGTAATCTTAACCTTTGTTCCAAGGGCATCTGCTTTGCACTCCCTTCTTAGCTTATATTCACTTTGTTATCTTATATGCTATTGAGAGAGTAAAGGGTGAGAAAGTGATGAGCTAAGGGTGAGGTAAAGGCTATCTCACTTGGATTTAATAAATCATATGAATCCCTTAAGGAGTAAGTGAACATGAAAAGCTTCAGAGGTGTTAGTTATAGTCTATTAAGGTTGTTTCATTTTTTTTTTATTTTTAGAAAATACACATGGAGTACTTATATAGTATTTTTTTCTTTTAAATTTTTGACATAATTCCAAATTTATAGAAAAGTTACAAGAAGAATATAAAGAATTCACATATATTCTTTACCCAAGTCCCCCAAATGTCAATATTTTATCACATTTACATCCTCTCTTATATTAACTTTTCTGATCTATTTGAGAGAAAGTAGCAAATGTGATGTCCTTTTATCCCTAAATACTTTATTGTATATTTTCTAAAAAGACAGGCATTCTCTTACATAACTACAGTACACTGATCAATATAAGCAGTTAACATTGACTCAAAACTGTATTCAAATTTCATCAGTTTCCTCAATAATGTTCTTTATAGCAAAAGAGAAAGTTCATGAGTTGGGTTGTCATGTCTCTTTCATCTCCATTAATCTGGAACAGTTCCACAGTTTTTTGTTTCATGACATTGACACATTGCATAGCACAGACCAGTTACTTTATAAACTGTGAGGAACATTCTACTTTGGGTTTTCCACTCACTGTTTCTTTTTTTTTTTTTTTTTGAGACGGAGTTTCGCTCTTGTTACGCAGGCTGGAATGCAATGGTGCGATCTCGGCTCACTGCAACCTCCACCCCCTGGGTTCAGGCAATTCTCCTGCCTCAGCCTCCTGAGTAGCTGGGATTACAGGTACGCGCCACCATGCCCAGCTAATTTTTTTTGTAATTTTTAGTAGAGACGGGGTTTCACCATGTTGACCAGGATGGTCTCGATCTGTTGACCTCGTGATCCACCCGCCTTGGCCTCCCAAAGTGCTGGGATTACAGGCTTGAGCCACCGCGCCCGGCCCCTCACTGTTTCTTTATAATCAGACCCCGTTATGCACTTTGACCAAGAATACGAAAGAAGTAATGTGTTCTTCCTGGTGCATCATATCAGGAGGCACATCCTATTGATCTATCTGATGTTAACTCTGATTGATTGGTTAAGTTGGTGTCTCCTAGGTTGTACATAATCATTGACAAGTTTAATATATTTCAATTTTAAAAAAAAATATTTAAGTGGCTGAAACTAAACTAATAAGCTGCAAATGTAGTTGTTTAATAGAAGAGGTCCTTAAAAGCTGGTTGGCACATAAGGTATGCATAATGTAGATTTAACACATACATAATATACATAATCCTCCAAAAGGTTTTAAAACTATTGATTCCTAAATGGTCTAACCATTCTCCTACTGTCTTATTAATTTTAAATAGCTCCTTGCATTCAGATAGTAGCAGAATAAACATCAGTCTAAACCTTTTATAATTATTGCTAGAGTCCAAAATCATAAAGTATTTTTCTAAGGGAAACAAAGTTGATTGGATTATCCTTTCCAAATAAAATGCACAAAAGGTATATTGCTATAAATTGTTGGTGTGGCTGGGTGTGGTGGCTCACACCTGTAATCCCAGCACTTTGGGAGGCAGAGGTGGGCAGATCACTTGAGGTCAGGAATTCAAGACCAGCTTGACCAACATGGTGAAACCCTGTCTCTACTAAAATCAAAAAAATTAGCTGGGTGTGGTGGGATGTGCCTATAATCCCAACTACTTGGGAGGCTGAGACAGGAGAATCACTTGAACCTGGAGGTGGAGGTTGCAGTGAGCTGAGATCGTGCCACTGCACTTCCGTGTGGGTGATAGAGCAAGATTCTGTCTAAAAAAAACCAAAACTGTTGGTATGTTTTATTTTTAAGGACCTGTTTTTGAAAGAGCTTCAGAAATTAAGTTTTTTTTAAGATGAAGTAGCCAAAAACATTTTTAGAATGATTGTAGCCATCTCCTTTAATAAAATCTATTTTTGTTTCATAGCACAAACAGAAGGCTGAAAGTAAACTATGAGTTCAGCCTTTAAAATTACTTTGTAATCAGGAAGCTTAAATCAGAATTAAAATTGATTCTTTTGAAATAAATAAGTACTGAATTTTCAGCAAGTTGAATTCATCCTCACACCAGTTAGATGGTTGCATTCTGCTCTGTATAGTCACATTAATATGTGCAGTTCACAGAGAAAGGTGTTAATGGGTTTTAGGTAACACTGATACTGCAATTACAAACAATTGCATTTCTACTAACTTGGTAAATCAGTGCAAAACACTTCAGAGCTTTCTTTGGCATTTCTAGCTGGCATGTCTTGTACATTCCTTGATTTCAGAGTAGGCTAATGTAAAATGGCATTGAAACTTTTAGGATAATTGGTTCATCTTTTTAGCATTCCACCCCGCCCCCACACCCCACTTTGCTTATTCCTGGTATAAGAATTAAAAATGACTGTTCAGGTGACAAATAGTGGCATCTGGAGGTCATACATCAAGTTTCGCATAGAGATGACAGTGAAAGATGTATGTGTGGGTGTTTGGGCCTCGGGGTGAGAGCAGAGTCATAAGTCCTAACCCATGGCCATTTCTTAGGGGGTTGGAGAAAAGACCTTATTACCTGGGGAAACAGGATTTTGTACTTTACTTGGATTTATCTGATTATTCCAAAAAAAATTATTTAAGACCTATGTAGTACGTAGGGTGACAGTCCTTATCCTCTGAGTTGAGGGAGGTGAGCAATTGCAATGGCAGCTAGCATTCATTAAGTACTTTTATGTACCAGGAACTGATATGAGCACTTGACATGCATTAATTCATTGTATCCTCACAACCCCATGATGCAAGTATGGTAGTACAACCCCCAATTTCCAGATAAGGAATCTAGGACACTCAGAGCAAGTTGGTCAGGGCCCCACTGGCAGTCTGGCTCCAGTGCCCATATCCCCTTTCCTGTTACACCATCCTACCTCCCTGTGGAGGTCTAAGTTCTAGAGGTAACAGAGAGGCAGAAGAGGCACACAGTATGACCACAGGGAGGGATGGGACAGAGACTCGTACATAAAGAGTACTCTGTACTTTATGTACAGAGTCCCTGTCCCATAAAGAGATCAAAACCCCATAGGCTGTCGTTTTCATCCTTCCAGCCATGGTCTTAATGTAGACCTCCTCCTTTCTCACCCAGCCTTGCTTACTTGTTCATCTTCCCACTTCTGGTCTCCTCCCACTGGAAGCCATCCTCTTCAGTGCTACCATGCACGTCTGGTCATGACCCTCCCTTCTTTTAAATTCTTCCACTATAGTCCAGAAAAAAGACAGCTTCCCATCTGCCTTAGCTTTGAATCCCAAACTCTGACTGCATCACGATCATCTGTAGAATGTGATAAAAATGCATATTGCCAGGCCACAACCAGACCTACTGAAACAAGATCTCTGTGCATGTGTCCTTGGAAAATGTACTCTAACAGGCTGCCCAGTATTTCTCATGTCAGCCAGGTTAGGGGACTACGGTACAGAAATGGAAAAGGTCAGAACTCCACCTCCGTGGCATGCCTGTTTGTCTGTCTGCCCCACTGGACTAGAAGCCCTGTGAGGTTTCATGCCTGGCTTATTCTCCTCTCTATCCATAGCACCTAGCGAATCTCTGGCATCTAGCCAGCATGTAACAAATGTTTTGAATACATGCATGAATTATTACAAGGCAAGTTGTTCTGCCATGGGACAATTTAGGAGGATTGCTTAAGCCAGGTTTTCCTCTCAGCCAGTGAGTGTTAATGCTGATTTCCAGGAGTGATGAGTAACCATAGTATAGTTCGTTTGAAATAGTTTGACTCCAGCAGTGGCAGTGTGTCGTGAAAGTGATTTGTTGAAATGTTTTCAATTTCTGAAACATAAATGAAGAAAAGTTCACATTTATTGAGCACCTACAACAGGAGCTTTCACAGATGTTCTCTCTTGTGCTCCACAGTAATCTCTGGCAGTTGCTAACGTAATTCCCATTTCATAGAGGAGGAACTTGATGCCATAACCCACATGCCTTCTCTAGGGTACTAAGAGGGACAGAGGTGGGATTTGACATGGTCCTCGGTATTCTTTCCATTGCACTATACCCAGGCATGTTCCTTTCTTCAGCATTGGTCTACAGCTATTTATACAGAGATCTTCATGTTTCATTAATTATTAACCCTTAACAATAGAACAGAAACTAAAAAAATTTTTTTTTAAATAGAACATAAACATTTCATGGATGTGACTCTAGGCCTCTTGGTTACATGTCACCAGCTGAGAGCAGCACCCATGGCTGTACCAACTATTACTATTGCTTTCTTCAGCGTCCTAAAAGAAGAAAGGAATTGCTGCCCTTTCTTAGGCCTTTTCTGTCTGCTAGAGACGACATCTTGCATGCTATATGGATTTTTCTCACTTAATCCTCGTGACAGCTCCACAACATAGGTACAGATAAGGAACCTGGGGTTCTGGTTAAAGCGACTTGCCAGTCTGACACAGCTATTTATACAGAGATCTTCATGTTTCATGAAGTGGCAGCACTAGATTCACCCCTGCGTCTCTGCCTGCCTCTCTGTATTAGTCTGTTCCCATGCTGCTAATAAAGACATACCTGAGACTGGGTAACTTACAAAAGAAAGAGGTTTAATTGACTCACAGTTCCACATGGCTGGGGAGACCTCACAATCATAGTGGAAGGTGAAAGGGAAGCAAGACACATCTTACATGGCAGCAGGCAAGAGAGAACTTGTGTAGGGGAATTCCCCTCTATAAAGCAATCAGATCTTGTGAGACTTACTCACTATCATGAGAACTGCATAGGAAAGCTCCACCCCCATGATTCGGTTACCTCCCACCGAGTCCCTCCCATGACAAGTGGGAATTATGAGAGCTGCAATTCAAGATGTGATTCAGGTGGGGACACAGCCAAACCATATCATTCCCCATATTCATTCACCTTGGTGTCCTAATAGGAACCTTTGCCAAAAGCTGTTGTCTGAAGTGGGAGAATCGTCTGGGCTTGGTTCAGAAACTATTCTACCACTGTTTAGAGTCAAGCACATAAGTGCTTTTATACCATCAGGTGAGTGCCTTTTCTATGATCCTATTCAAATAAATATTATATACTGTGTTTTTCCCCCAGATCGGCCATGGATATGGAACATTCCTTATGTCAAAGCACCGGATACACATGGGAACATGTGGGTGCCCTCCTGAGAATCCTGAGGCACTGTGAAATTTAAGTGTAAGACATTGAGCCCCAAACATGGAATCTCTTATTTGTACTGGATGTTCACTTTCCTTAAAGTATTATTTGCACCACTATAAAATATTTGCAAAGGTCACTCTTATGAATGGATGTTGGTTATGCTTTTAATGGACATTAACATTCTCTCCAATATAAAGTTATTTTCTTAATTCATTTTTTATATGTTTTGGAAAGGAAACTAGTGAACTTCTCAATGTTAAAAATATATACTGATTCAGTATCCCCTCTCTGAAATGCTTGGGACTAGAAGTGTTTCAGATTTTGGATTTTTTTGAGTTTTGGAATATTTGCATATGCATAATGAGATATCTTGGGGATGGGACCCAAGTCCAAACACAAAATTCATTTATGTTTCATATACACCTTATATACAGTAACCTAAAGGTGATTTTATATGATATTTTAAGTAATTTTCTGCATGAAACAAAGTTTTGACAGCCTTTTGACTGGCCTGAGGTCAGGTATGGAAGTTTTCACTTGGAGCATCATGTCAGCACTCAAAAAGTTTTGGATCTTGGAGCATTTCAGGTTTTCAGATTAGGGATATTCAACCTGTATAGATATAAAATTATCCTCACAGTGTCATAGAATCTCTTGGTGCTGTCAGCTGTTGGGAATTGAAGATTGACTTCCTGCTTCCACCCTCCATCCAGAAAAGCACCCTTCATTCCACCAGAACTTTTCCCAGGAAGAACGCGATTGTTTCCTTTTCACCTGTGCCCTCTCTCAGCTTTCTGAGTATGTTTCATGGGGTTGCTGGACGGGATCCGTCTCTGAGGCCAATGCGCTGTTTCAGCCCCATACAGCTAAGAATTGTATTGACTCTCCTCCCGGCAGGTTTTCATAGCTTTCAGCCTCAGCTTTACAAGGCTTTTCCTCCCTCCTGGGCACCCTGCTGCCTGCCTCATTGCTTATAAACAGGTCCCACAGGACCCAAACGCCGCCTGCCCAGGGTAAATGAGTATCTCTTCTATCCCCAGAAATTTCCAGAGAAAACAGCTCATGGGATTATATAAAAGCACACAAAGATTTTGGGGAAAATCCTAAAAAGTGACTTAATGTGGTGCCTTAAATTCACAAGTGAGGAAAGTAAGGCCTAGAAGGTTAAGGGTGTCCCCAGGGTCACACGACTAGCTGGGCTCTGAGCTGTGAGTGTCTTTGTGTTTTGTGTGCATTGCATTCTCCCGAGGGTGCTTTAGACCCTGTTTGTTTTCTTCTACATGAGGCTGATTTCCAGTTTGTCATCAACCTCTTTATCTTATAACTTAGGATACAGTTAAATGTTAGTCCTGAAAGATTTTCTAAAGTCGTCTTTCAAACTGTTCCTCAGAGGCCTAAGATTTTCCAAAAGTACCTTAGAAACCTTGTAGGCTGTGGTGGCAGTGTGGCGATAAAGGAGGAGGCAGGGAGACAGGGCTGCAGGGCCTCCCGCCATGTAGCAGATAAGCTCTGCTTCATCTATTTTACATATTGGGATTCTGTAAAGGATATCTTCTGGGGTTTTGAGTGTATTTGTATGTGTTCTACTTTTTTAACATAAACTTGAAAAGGTACAGAATTAATTAAACCAATTTATTTTGCAGTTAAGAAAACTAAGGCTTCCGCCTTTTCTGACTACCCTCGATGCATGAAAACATTCAAACCTGACATCAGATGAGCCCAACAGCCAAGAAAGGAAATAGGGAGAGCCCAGGGGCTGGTAGTGGAAGCTGACATCATAGTGGGCTGGCCTAGCAGTTTAATTCGAGTGTCCAAAGGACTATGGCAAAGAATGTGTGATTCTCACCATGCACTGGTCCCACCCAGATGGGGCAGGGGCAGGGGCAGCATAGGCTTCCGGGTAGTGCCAGGCAAGCTTCACAGTCAGCAGGGCATCCTCATAAAGCTGCAGTCAGTTGGCCTGCTCTGGAGTGGGACCCAGCCAATCAAGAGACGGTAGCAGATTGACAGCTAGACGATGGCTGTGGGGGGTCATATGGGTACATTGCTTATCTGATCCACATAACAGCTCAAGGAGGCAGATTAGCAAAGTGGGTCAGAGCTCAGAGCTGGAGTTAGGTGGACAGGGTTTGAATCTCAGCTCTGCCACTTACTGTCTGTGCAGCCTAGACAAGGTTATATAACTTCTCTGTGCCATGGTCCCCCAACTATAAAATGAAGGTGGTGGTAATATTACCCTTTGCCGAGGGCTGATGTGTCTGGTGACTTAGTACATGTAAAGTGTTAAGCCACACTTGCACAGAATGAGAATAGTACAAGTGCTCGCTGCTGTCACTGTTCCAGGTAGGTCATTAGGATTGTATGTATTTTCCAGAAAGAAACTCAAAAGGTAAAATGCTTGTCCAAGGTCATGCTTCTAGAAAGTGCTCTTCAGCAGTACCTGAACTCAGG